TCAAGGTTACAAAAGCTCTCTCTTAAGACAAGAACTGAGACAAGAACCTCTCTTAAGACTGTAACCAAGTAACACATGGGAAAATTACAGCAACAAGGTATCCAGCGACTCTTAACCTTCACAGTTCATTTATTCAGTCTCTTATAGGTTGCTTGACAAAACAAGCAACAAAGAAGCAGCACCTCTCTCTCTCTCTAACACAAACACACGTTAGACTGTCTTATTGGGCAGATGGGCCATTTGTTCTCGGTGCCTCTGTCGCTGACGTCTTCCCCAACAGCACCAAACACCGCTGGCACTCTGGGCCCAGCCAGCTATTTTGTCAGGTTGGGGAGATGAGGACAGGGTGCCCCGCAGTTGCTAGGCAACTGCAGTTGGGGACTGCATCTGCTGGGTTCCCCTGGCAACCAAAGCCTTTGCCGTCATCCCCCATAGGCTTGCTCATTCAGCCAGTCGGGCTGGGAAGAAGCCGCATGAGAGATAGTGATGCAGGTGCAAAGGTTGAACATGTTTGGGGGGAGGTACAAAGGAGATCAGGAGGTAGCAAAGAAACAGACGAGCCTGCAGATGGAGGCAGAGCTGAGATTTTCATTACAAGAGGTCCCATTTAGCTGGGCACAGCCTGGAATATGAGTTTGAGGAAGAGTTGCTTTCCTTCCTATCTTTCAGTTGTCTACTTTATAAAGTAGACATTAAAAATGAAGTACCATTTGCTATAAGCAATGAAACCTAAAGCAATTCACTAACCAACAGAGTGATGCCTACCCCTCAAGAGGGAGGCGCATTTTCAAAGCTCCAATAGAACAAAATATTCTGGAAAGAAGCAATTGTTTGGGGCAGAAACAGACATCTTGGAGGAAGATATTCCACAGTATAGGGGCAGAAACTTGACAAGGTCCAGCTTCTTGTGGGTGCTAACCTTTCATTCACAAAAGATCCTAAGCAACTTTGTTGTGCTGAACAGTCTCAAAGGGCAGCTCAGCACAGAGCACATTGTAACAATCTAACCTGGAAGTAACTAAGAGGAACTAAGCTAAGACTGCATAGAAGCCATACCTTTGAAACACACTCCTAAAGGATGCTGGGAATTGTAGTTTGTTAAGGGTGCTGAGAATGGTAGCTCTGTAAGGGTGTAAACTACAGTTCCCAGGATTCCTTGGGGCAGTGTGTGTGTGCTTTGAATGTGTCTTAAAGGCATATACTCAGCATAAATGTCTGTATTTCAGTAGTGGGCACAGTTGGATAATCAGATGAGGATTTTAAAAGGGCATTCTGGAGCCTTTGGGATTCCAGAAGCAACGCTGTGTGTCTGAGAGTACCTCCTGACTGCAGACCTGCTCCTTCAGGGACCCTGCAATCCCATCTGAAAACAGGCTTTCCCCCAGCCATCTGGTCCCCTGAATTCGCCGCCATCATCTCCAAGTCCATTTTCAACCTGGATTGAATTCCTTCTGTCCATTATCAAATCCAGGCAACTTTTCAGGGACTTCGCCACTTTACCTGGAACTGAAGGAGGTGGTGGGCAGGAAAAGGGCTGGGTTTTGTCAACATACGGATGACACCATACAGCATCACTCATGGCAACATCACCCTAGAAAGAGGAACTTCCAAGGGCAAGTCCTACAAGTCTCCCAGAAATCACCTAATACCTGCCATCAAGCTTCCTCCTATCCATGGTACCAATGGATGCTCTACCACTGGCACCAACAGCCTGGTCCGTCCATAATAAAACCATGCCAATCCATGACTGGATAGTGGGTGAGCAGGCTGGCCAGGTGTGCATCTCCAAGACCTGGGTGAGGGAGCTGGGTGGGACAGATGTGACTCAGCTCTGCCCACCCAGGTACTCAGTCAAACATCAGCCCAGACTGGAGAAGGGGGAGATAGCTGATGGTGTAAAATAAGGATCAAGGACGTCTTCTGGTAGGAGACGTCAAGTGGGCCTTTTTAATAGTGTTGCCCTGTCTATGGAATTCCCCATTCCTTTGGCACCAGACAAAGACCTTTTGCTTTTTCCAGGCCTTTTAAGTTTTGATCCAAAATTTGTAATCCTATACACGTTTACCTGTGTATAGCCCCACTGAACTCGGTAGACATGTGTACGATTGCAGACTTTACCATTTTAACTTGCTGCTTTTAACTGCTGCTTGTCTTGTTTTATTGTCTGTTTTAATACTTACCGGTATTTTGCATTGTTTCCATTATTACATATCTTATTGTGAACCACCCAGGGAACCTCCTTGACTGAAAGGTAGAACAGAAATAAACCAGGGTCACTGAAGCAGCATCTGTCTCCCAACCAGGCCTGAAACCAGACTGGAATAAAAAACAAGAATTGTGACACCTTAAAGACTAACAAATTCAATGGAGTACATATGTGTATGCCACAATAAACTTGTATGTCTTTAAGGGGCCACAAGTCTCTTGTTTTTGCTGCAAGAGTGACTTACAGCATCATCCTAACCATGTGTCCTACTCAGAAGTAAGTCCTATGGAATCAGTGGGGCTTACTCCCAATTTAAATGGGTTTAGGTCTTAAAAATGTAACCTACTACAGTCATACCTCATGTTACGCTTGCTTCAGGTTGAGTGTTTTCAGGTTGCGTCCCGCGGCAACCCAGAAGTAATGGAATGGGTTACTTCCGGGTTTCACTGCTCGCGCATGCGCAGATGTGCAAAATGATGTCATGCGCATGCACAGAAGCAGCGAATTGCAACCCACGCATGCACGGATGTGCAGACACGGGTTGTGTTCTGTTCAGGTTGTGAATGGGCCTCTGGAACAGATCCCGTTCGCAACCAGAGGTACCACTGTACAGATCGGAATACAGTGGTACCTCGGGTTAAGAACTTAATTCGTTCCAGAGGTCCGTTCTTAACCTGAAACTGTTCTTAGCCTGAGGTACCACTTTAACTAATGTGGCTTCCCGCTGCTGCTGCCCCGCTACCCCCGCGCAATTTCTGTTCTCATCCTGAGGTAAAGTTATTAACCCGAGGTACTATTTCTGGGTTAGCGGAGTCTGTAACCTGAAGCGTCTGTAACCAGAGGTACCACCGTAATTGGTTTCACCCCAAGAGTTGTCCTGCTGCTGCTAGTCCTTCAAGCATCTTCCTCACACATACATACCCCAAACTGGCCCAATTCTAAATTAGAGACCAGCCTATACAGTCAGGAAAGTTGTAATGGTGATTTATTTGTTGTTGTTGTTGTTGTTGTTGTTGTTTAGTCGTTTAGTCGTGTCCGACTCTTCGTGACCCCATGGACCAGAGCACGCCAGGCACCTCTGTCCTCCACTACCTCCCGCAGTTTGGTCAAACTCATGCTGGTAACCTCAAAAACACTATCCAACCATCTCGTCCTCTGTCGCCCCCCTTCTCCTTGTGCCCTCCATCTTTCCCAGCATCAGTGTCTTCTCCAGGGAGTCTTCTCTTCTCATGAGGTGGCCAAAGTACTGGAGCCTCAGCTTCAGGATCTGTCCTTCCAGTGAGCACTCAGGGCTGATTTCCTTAAGAATGGATGCGTTTGATCTTCTTGCAGTCCATGGGACTCTCAAGAGTCTTCTCCAGCACCATAATTCAAAAGCATCAATTCTTCGGCGATCAGCCTTCTTTATGGTCCAGCTCTCACTTCCATACATCACTACTGGGAAAACCATGGCTTTAACTATACGGACCTTTGTTGGCAAGGTGACGTCTCTACTTTAAGAGGTGTCAAAACAACACTTCCTTTAAGGAAGCAGGAACATGTTCTTCTGGCAATGATGCATCAGTCACTGGACCGACCAAACCAGATAGTCCTCCTAGGCGACCTGTTCCGGGTCAGAAAGAGTCAAGTGAGAACATTTTGGGGCGGCCTTCACTAAGAGTTTTAACGGCATCCTCAGGTGAAGTTAACTGAAAGGCAACCAGTAGCAAGAGGTCAAGGGATTCCTCACTGCAGGACTTTACAGTCAATGTGGCCCCTTCCAGGCTGGTTTCTTATTCTACACGATGATAAAGCAAACTGTCAGTGACGACAACAACAGAATGAAATAAATGTTTTCCCCAAGAATGACACTGAGCTGCTGTTTAGAGGAGGAAGATGAAATTAATTTCAAGCAGCCTGAGGAGACATAACCTTAAGTGGAAAGGTCTGAACCCTTCATCCCAATATAACTAGTTCAACGACTTGAAAGTAGAAACCCTGAAAGGGGGGGCAGTGAAAAGGGACAAGGAAATGTAAATTCTTCCTGAGCCCCCTCAGAAAGCCTGGCCCATCAGTTCTCTCACAACTTGAACACTCTCCCTTTCCCCCCTGAGATAAGCTGGTGGCAAAATTCATCTTATCTCACCCATAGTTAAATATTTATTAGGCTTCTCCTGCCAGAAAGGTGGCACAAGATACAGACCGGAAGGGAGATCCGTCTCTTTCCACAAACTGCAGCTGATATAAAATGTTGCCTGTGTCTTTGCATTTAAAGGGCAGGGTTGTTTCTTAAATGTAAGTTGCACTGGGGGAAGGAGACAGGGAGCGAGCTGATAGATCAGTGTAGACACGGAGGAGGAAATTAACCCCTTAATCCTCTTTGCTGCTATCCTGAGGGAAAGCCCCTTTCGGGAGTTAGTTTTTGCACTGAGAGGAATCCCTAACTGACGCCAACCTGTTTATATATATTAAAAATGCATTTCATTCCACATCTAGCAAAGGCCCTTATTTATTTAATTTTAGGAATGAGACCTGCTGCCATGGTGGGAGGGAAGGGCTCTAGCAATCTCTTCTTGAAGCAGAGGAGAAAGGAATGAGGTCAAGTGGCTCGAAGCAGGAAGGACCAGAGCACCTTCCTGACTTTCGGCTGCCAAGAAAATTGCTCTTTGCCCCAAGGGAGTGGCAGTCTTTAAAATGTGCAGGTTGGCATTAAGAGGGGAGGGGACAGGAGCATGATGTGTGTGTGTGTGTGCGCGTGTGTGTGCCTCTATATATGCACATGTACAGTCATTCAAGCGGGTGAACAGGTGCAAGATTAGAGAGGTCCTGACAGGCAAAGAGGAGGAGTAAGTTTCTGTCTTCTCCACACCTCATTTTTTTTCCCCTTCCTCCTCCAGTGCCTCAAAAAATCACATCAACCTGCTTATCCAGCCACTCCCGGCCAGGATAGTCCTGCTCTCTATCACACATTGCATTTGATCAGGAAGATCCCAGGAGTTCAGGGGTTCCAACCCACCTGATTTCACTCCATTTCCAGAGGACCTGAAGGACTCCCTCCTCCCTCCGCTCTGCTCCTAATCCATGAGCATCATTCCCTTTCCAGAGACTTCAGCGGGCCCCGGCTGAGCCTGACGTCTCTCTCCTGCCTTCACCCACCAAGCCAAGGACTTTTAGCCTCTTTCCACCACTGCCATGGGATTCCAGCTACTCCTCTTTGGGCTGCCTGCCCTTGGGATCTATGCCCTGACATCCCACTGCCTGAGAAAGAAGCCACATCTGCTCCACAAGCCACACAGGTTTCCTGTTCGATGCCGGCACGTCTCCCACCGGGGCGGTGAGTTCTGCAAGGATGTTCGCTTGGCGGGGGGGGGGGCAATGACAGAGGTCTGGGAGGGGAGGGGTGGCGTGCTGCAGCAAGCCAGGGCTGAGAGAGCGAAGCCGTAATTCCTAGCAGCTAGCCCTCCCACTCTCCCCATTCTGACAGGTGCAGATGTCTTTGTTTCTGCTCCAGTTCTCTAGACCCGCAATGCTGCATTCCTAGATCACAAAAAGAACAGGCACTTGGTGTCCCTGGAATGGGAATGGGGTAATGCCATGCCAGCCCTTAGGAAGCTGAGTGCCTGCCTTCTGTCAACATCTCCGTTTTCTTCTCAGGTGCTGGAGAAGAGATTGAGAACACTTTAGGAGCCTTTAGCCAGTGAGTGTTGCCCCCCCCTTACACCCCATCCTGCCTTGCACTGATGTTGCTGCTACAGCCATCCAGCCTCCCATGCTGATCTTTCTCTCCGCCCTTCCAGCGCACTGACCCAGAGGACAAACCTCTTGGAGATTGACTGCCACATGACAAGAGATGGGGTTGTGGTTGTGTCCCATGATGACAACCTGGAACGCCAAACAGGGCATGACATCAAGATCAGTGAGACGGACTATAAGGTTTGCGACGTACCCTGCCCCTATTCGTTACTATTTGTGATATTTATTAGAGTTGCGTCCCTCTTTCTGTCTGCGCTAGAACACAAGGCAGCACCTGTCTTTGGAACTCCCTGCCTCTTGAGAACTAGAAGGGGCCCATACTATATTGTTTTGGATGCCCACTGAAAACTTTATTTCATCAAGTCTATCCATCCAGAGAACTTAACCTAACCCATATTCATTTTTTAAAAAAAACCTGATTGTATCTGTGTTTTTATAATTATTTTATGTGTATTTGCTTATTAATATCGTGGATTTTAGCTATGGTTTATCTACAATTTTATTATGTGCCCCACAGAGAGCTCTTTGATTACGCAGTTTGTACATAATTCTAAACGAAGGAAGGAAGGACGATGAGGTAGTGAATGTGGAGTTCCCAGGTGGTCTCCCCTTCAGCCACTGACCAGACCCTCTGGCAAGGTGGCTGAATAATTTATATATATATAATTTTTTAATTACATTTTCTGTTTTAAAATTTAAAGTCTTCCTTCATACATCCTTAAGATATCAGTGACTTCCCTTCTTCTCTTTCCATGGTTCATTTTACATATCATCAATCATATTTTACAAAAACTAAACCATTCAGTATTTCATTATTACATCCATCAAAACTTATTGAAGTTATCTTAATGCTGCCAGCGCTTTCAGCTGTACACAGTTATTTCCCATATATTCAATAAATGTTTTCCAATCTTCTTGTTCTCTTACTCTATAAGTTAAGTCTGCAAGCTGAGCATATTCTGTCAACTTAAGTTGTCATTCTGCTTTGGTTGGGACCTCACTCGTTTTCCCTTTTTATTGGCTAACAAAACAGAGGCTGCAGTAGTGGCATACATAAATAACCTTTTCTGACACCTGGGAATTTCAGTCTGAATTACTCCCAACAGAAAAGACTGGGGTTGTTTTTTTTTGGGGGGGAGTACTTTTAAACATTTTTTTTCCAATTCATTATGGATCATTTCCCAATACTCTTTTACCCTTTTACAAGTCCCCTGCAGGTGACTGAATCATGTGCCTAGAAGCCATTTGCTGGAGGGCAATGACTCTAAACCCAGGACCTGCCCCCATCCCAAAGAACCCAGGGGTCCTTACCCCAAGCTATGTTCTAAGCCCCCCAATCCCACATCTCCCCAAGAAAACCCAGGTGTCCTCCTGGCTCCTTAGTCCTTACCCTAATTGTGTCCCATAGGATCTACCACCCTATAAGGATTCTCTGGAGGTGACCTTTTCCCCAGGTGAGTAGGAGGAGTAGAGCTGCTTTGGTTTGAGGGGTGCTGTGTTTGGGGTGCTCACGTGTGGTGGGGTTGTGCACCAGCAAAGTATGCTCCACCTGCTGCATAAGCCACCCTTTCCAACAGGATGCTACTCCCATGGCAAAGACCACCGGATTCCACGCTTGGAGGAGGTTTTCCAGAAATTCCCTGGAGTACCGGTCAATCTAGAAATCAAAGAGGATAGCGACGAACTCATACGAAAGGTATGGGGGCAACAAGCTACTCGCGCTTCTTTACTTTCCAACATCTTCATTCTAGGTCACGATCCAGATTTTTGCTAATCTCCCCTTTCAATATTCAGACCTCACCCTACTCCTAATCAGGGACACACAGCTCATCACACCTTATAGTGGGTTATGCTAACCTAGGCAACATCAGTGCTGCTCTCCTATCTCCACATTTTCACTCTCCCACTCATAAAAAGGAGTCTCGTTGCACCTTAAGGACAAATATAAATTTATTGTAGCACAAACCTCTGGGGACTAGGCACTAAGCTTCATCAGACGCATCCTTGGATGAAGTGGGCTCTAGTCCACAAAAACTCAACACTACAATAAATTGCTTGCAATTAAGGTGCTACGCAACACTCATTTTTTGTTTTTGCTCTAACATGGATACTACCCTCCCTGGGATTTCCCTCCCAGTCATATAACTCAGCCACATTTGCAAGGAAGCTGATCTTTGTAGTCAACTACCAAGTTGAAATTAATTCAAACCTCTGAAGGGCTGGACTGTGTGGAATAGACTGCCCTGGTCCAGACACTTAGCTCACACCAATGATTGGCAACTAGAGAGACCATCTGTGCCTTCCCACAACGATCTTCCATTCAGTTTCCAGGACTTAGGCAACTACAGAAAGTCAGTGCTTTTGAGAAAAACCTGTTAACTGAATCCACGTTGCTCTGCCTTCTTCCTCTTGCGCACAGGTAGCAGATCTTGTCCGAGAATACGATCGCTCCCACATCACCATCTGGGCCGCCTTTGAAGGGAAAGTACTGAAGAAATGCTGTGCAGCTGTATGTTATTGACAGTTTTTCATCCACCTTCACAGCTATTGGGCTCTCGGTAACTGATATGCTGGCACCGTTAAATGAGGCAATGCCTTTGATTGGTCCAGGTTTCTGACTGTAGAACAGAATGCAGGTTTTCAGACTATACAAGACTCTTTCATATAGCAAAAAATAAAAATAAAAACGAGGCATGGGTCAAAAGTACATGCCGTAATAAATCAATCAGGGCATGGCTAGGAGACAGCTTCCTGCTTTCTCTGTTTGCTTCTTTGCCTACGCTGTTCCAACTTGTTAAGCTGCCAGGTTCCTCTGTCAATGACCTTGGGGGATGTACATCTGTGCAAGGTATCAGGAGCTCCCACAGGGAATTCTGACAACCCTACGACTCATAGGCTTGCTTGGGGGAAGATAAATGTCCAAACCAGTTCAAGTGTGCAGTGCAGATGTATGATACCCACAGATATGTCCCAGATGAGCTGAAGGAATCAGTGGGGGTGATGACAACATGTTCCGTATTTCTTCCTGGCTATCAAGCCTAGAAACCACAAAACCCTCACCTCATTTTCTCCTCTTTACCCATCCCCCAGAACACAGAGATGCCCTACATCTTCTCCATTAAACGTGGCATCACAATGCTTCTCCTGTACTACGTAGGGATCCTGCCGTTTGTGCCGCTGAAAGAAACCTTCCTTGAGTTTCCATTGCCCTCCATTATGAACAGGTGACAGAAGCTGGGGGAGGTGTCTGTGTGTGTCTGTGTGAAAAGAAATGTAAAGGTTCAGAGGGGCAGTTTTCCTGGTGTAAGGATCAGCAACTGGAAGTCTTTTTCCAAGACGTTTTGTCCATCTGCAAATCTCAGGGCTCCACAAGCCCATTGATACTTCCATGTGTTTGTGTTTGTGTTTGTGTGTGTTGCTATGTTGGCCGCATAGGCACCGGCACTCACACCTTAACATCAAGAACAGAGGGAATGATGGCTAAATGGAATGTCCCTGTTGGAAGGCAGAATATCTCTGAGTACCAGTCACTGTTGCCTTCATGTCCTGCTTGTGGGAATTTTGCTGATCCTCTTGGGAAGCAAGATGCTGAACTAAGTGGACCTTCGGTCTGATCCAGTTAGGACTCAACTGGTGTGATTTAGACTATCTGACAGAGCCGGATTATCCACTGGACTCTCAGTAACTGATATGCAGGCACTGATATCCATTGGTTTTTTGGATGTTGGTGGTCATGCACATTCATAACTTCTCTCTCTAAATCTGGGACCAGAAAGGGTGGGAAAGGAAATGATTATTACTGACTCTGGAAGGGAAGTAAGGTCCAACCAAACACAGGGAATGAGGTACCTCTGGAAGAAAAGTCAGGTCCAAGTGAGTTCACACGGGGGGTGAGGTACTGAGGACCAGTTAAAAACATTGTACCAACAGCTTGTTAGGAGCCGCATGAGTGATGAAGTGACATGGTTCTAAAAAAACTCAGCACTTAATTAAGCAGCTGAGCTTGCATGATGGGATGCTTCTTCATAAAACAACAGAATCTGAACAACAACAACGAAAGCCTAGCATGCCCCTTCTTAAACTTAAAAAGACCCCGGCAAAGTATTCCTGCCACTGCCAAGCTAGATTTTGCTCTGCACTGGAGGTTTGCCAAAGTCCCATCTGTTTCATATGGCCTTAATATGTCCTGAGAACCTGCAATTACGCACAAATTAAGCAAACAACTTTTGGTGGCCAGAGGTACAAAAAAGAGAGAATATTACCGGTACTTCTTGAAACCTAACTGCTATTTGCCTCTTTCACTGAGTAATAATACTATGCCCAAGCTAGAATAGACATGAGGCGCCTCCTCTTATCAAAACATTTTTTATTCCTCTATAACTGTTTTTTGATTGCACAGTTAAATATAACAGTATTATTAGGATGAAGGAAAGGGAAGTGAAAACTAAGTGTGATGTATAAGTCTTCCACAATGGCTTGCAAGCTGGGCTGTCCAGATCCCTCCTGTATCCTATAACTTACTTGTAATTTTGTATATAATGGATAACCTATTGATAAAAACCTAGCCTTTTTTTAACAAATAGAAAGAAACTTAATATATTGGGGGAAAGTTTGTAGCCTAGCCATTTCCTTAGTATTCCAAGTTTTATTTTGGAGGAGCATTCAGTCATTTGAGCCCCTGCTTGCAGACTGAGGTTGTATAGTTCAGGCACAGGTTTACCAAGCAACTGAGAGTGAGACTCAAGTTCAGCTGGACACGACAGGCTTTTCCAGGTACCCTTAGGCCTTGCCCATGTCATATTTATATGTTATAAGAAGTATAACAAGTGAGTTAAGTTAATTTAAATGTCGTGCTCATTGAGAAAAGGTGTGGGTGTGAGTGAGTGACTTGGGTTTTATGAAACTGTGTTGGAGCTGATAGCTTAGAAGAGGAATGGCAGGAAATGAGGACTTCTCAGTGATCTGTTAACTCTGCTGCCTTTTTGTTTTCCTTTAATTGCAGGACATATTTTCCAGTAAAAAAGGGCTGGTTTGGAGCACTGGTGGCTAAATTTGCCCACAGGTGAGTGAAAGCAAGCAATACTTTACCTGCTCAGTTCTTAAGAAGCCTGCTCACCAAACCTGACCCATTTCATCACCTGCTGCTTCCCTCTTCTGTATCTCTAATCTAGAGAACTGACTGATGCTCAAAACTATCAGGATAGGGAGGTCCACATGACCTACCCAACTGATTTCCCCTCTCTCCACTTTTAGCTGCTGTTATTTCTTTTTCTTTTTTTAGGTCATAGTGGGTCATGGTTTTGTTAAGGGGGCCATCACAAAAGGTAAAGGGGAAGTTTCTCTTGTTCTCTCTCCCTCCCCCAAATGTTACCACTTGAACTGCCCCGATATAAAGGTAAAGGTAAAGGTACCCCTGCCCATACGGGCCAGTCTTGACAGACTCTAGGGTTGTGCGCCCATCTCACTCAAGAGGCCGGGGGCCAGCGCTGTCCGGAGACACTTCCGGGTCACGTGGCCAGCGTGACAAGCTGCATCTGGCGAGCCAGCGCAGCACACGGAACGCCGTTTACCTTCCCGCCAGTAAGCGGTCCCTATTTATCTACTTGCACCCGGGGGTGCTTTCGAACTGCTAGGTTGGCAGGCGCTGGGACCGAGCAACGGGAGCGCACCCCGCCGCGGGGATTCGAACCGCCAACCTTTCGATCAGCAAGTCCTAGGTGCTGAGGCTTTAACCCACAGCGCCACCCGCGTCCCGCCCCGATATACCCCATCATATTTTCCTTTCTTTTATAGGATGACCATGCAGAGAAAGCTTTTCAAGCATCTGGAAGACAGAGGAATACAGGTAAATTAACTTGGAGGAATCAGGAATTACAGTCCCTCCTTAGCAGAAACTGCTGAAGGCTGAGCTAGAAGGCTTTAGCCCGGTATTTAAGTATTTTGCAATAGGTGGCAAAGGGAAGAGGGATATTTGACTTCTTAATGTCACTATTAGCTATATTTACATATAGTGCTGACACTTCACCCGAGAGGCACAGAGTCATATTAATAGAGTATTCTTGTGTGTTCAGGAAAAAGAGCTGCATAGTTCATGTTTATATGTGCAACAACCCTGGGTGGTAGATAGCTGAGAGAGGTGTGCCCAGCACTTTCACCCACCTCAGCAAGTATCATGGCTTTCACTGTTTTAGGATTTGAGAGTGTGCTTATAAATGGTTGTGTCCCTTTCCTAGGCAGCAAGGGGTGTCTAAATCAGGTTTTTAAAAAATGGATTATATCCTCCTACTAAGCATGCTATGGTATCTTAAAGACCTGACTTTGGGTGCATTGCATGCCATCTATTTAAATCACATTACGCCCTCCCAAAGAATCCTGGGAACTGTAGTTGGTTAGGACATTAATAGCTCTATGGGGATAAACTACAGTTCCTTCCCAGGATTCTTTTAGGGAAGTCATGTCTTTTAAATGCATGCATAGTGCAAATATGCAGCCTCTGTGTGTGTGTGGGTGGGTGGGTGGGTGGGTGTATGCATGTTTTGCTTTACTGCAACAGATTAATTCAGCTCTCCTCCTCCCCTGTAGTTGCAACTACAGCCTTGTGAAAGTAGCTCATTACTCCCACATTTCAGGTAGGGAGCTGAGATGTAGAAACAGTAGCATATTTGAGACACATGTTGCCAGATTTGTGTCATGCGTACTTGAAAGCTTAGTGGTGCTTATGGCATGCGACGGAATGGCGCTTTAACAAGTTCATAACTGAGACGAAATCTCAAGCAGGAACTTCCTCCCTCAGAGCTAACACAACCCGCTCTATATTGGTTCTCAGATGCCTGTGGCATTAGTGCAACCATCTTGTGTTTTCCAATCAGTAAAGTCATCCTTATGATTTTTCCTTACCAGGGAGTTTTCTTCTTCTTCCCAGAAAGAACATCTTGCTGACTGCAAAGCAGTTATTGTGGCTTTTCCTCCACCACCAACATCCTGCTTGCAGGGAAAATGTTGACTGAATTAATAGCTGCATGAATAAGTGATCAGCTAGAACAATAAGGGCTCCACACTCAAACCCGTCATCTCTTCTTCTTTGTTTCCGTATAGGTTCTTCTTTGGGTCTTGAATGAGGATAAGTATTTTGAGGAAGCCTTTAGCTATGGAGTCTCCGGAGTCATGACCGATTATCCCACCCTCCTCCGGAAGTATCTAGACGCTCACCCACCCCTTTGTAGTGAATGATCCGCAATGTGGGAGAATAGCTCCTGACTGGAAAAGGGAGAGAGGTGTGTGAGGTCAGAAGAGAAGAAAAGACATTTTGTTGGGGGTGGGGGTAAAATACGAAACAAATAAACCTTACTGTTACTAGTAGTGTGTTGTGTTTTCATTGAATGAGCAAGGTATGTGTAGAGTGTTTAGGATTTTATCTGGCCCACAGTTGCGCTAAAGCACACTATTTGCTACAGCCCTGCTTGCAGAAGCCTGAAAACCTTAATTTGTATATTGCGCTTCTAGTCTTTCTTGATTATAGCAACAAGATCCCAAAAGAAGAAGAAATGGGGGAGGGGCCATTGGCAACCTGGCTGCTGCAAAGATGTTGCTTATGCCTGTTATCCTGCTGAAGGAAGGCACAGACACTTCCCAGGGGATCCCTCAGCTTGTGAGTAACATCAATGCCTGCCAAGTCATTGCAGAGGCCGGCCAGACCTCTCGGCCCTCGGGGCATGGACAAGCTCATTGATGATGACAGAGGCAAAGCAATAATAATAATAATAATAATAATAATAATAATAATAATAATAATAATAATTTATTTATATCCCGCCCTCCCCAGCTGAAGCTGGGCTCAGAGCGGCTAACAACAGTAAAATAATACAACATTCTAAAATCATTTCATTATAAAATCATTTCAAATTAATGACAACTATTGGGCTAGAGTTCTGTGAGGATTGCCAAAGGAGGGGAGTCAGACTGTGCCTTGGCCAAAGGCCTGGTGGAACAGCTCTGTCCTGCGGAAAGATGTCAAGTCCCGCAGGGCCCTAGTCTCTTGTGACAGAGCGTTCCACCAGATCAGGGCCACAGCCAAAAAAGCCCAGGCTCTGGTTGAGGCCAGCCTAACCTCCCTGTGGCCCAGGACCTCCAAGATGTTTTTGTTTGAAGACTGTTCAGGTCCTCCGTGGGACATACCAGGAGAGGTAGTCCCATAGGTACGAGGGTCCTAGGCCGTATAGGGCTTTAAAGGTTAAAACCATTTCTAATGATGGCGCCACCATCCTGACGCTTCTCAATGTGGTACACCCTGCTGCATAGACACTTGTAGACACTGCCAAATCACGGGATGTGGAGGCAACCCAGCTGGGAGCGGATAAGATCAAGAAGATTGCCGTTAAGATCAAGAAGACTAACCGAGAGGCGCTGCAGAGCCTGCTGAAGAAGTGTGCAAGCACAGCCTTGAGCTCAAAGCCGATTTCCCACCAGAAAGAGTTCTTTGCCAAGATGGTGACAGATGCCATCATGATGCTGGACGAGCTGCTGCAGATCAAAGTGATTGGGATCAAGAAGGTGCAGGGAGGAGCCCTTGGTGGATTCCCAACCGGAGGCAGGAGTTGCCTTCAAGAAGACCTTCTCTTATGCTGGGCTTTGAGAAGTATGAGCCCAAGAGGTATGAGTCCCCCAAGATCACTCTGCTCAACATTGAGCTGGAGCTCAAGGCGGAGAAGGACAATGCTGAAGTCAGAGTCCACACTGTGCAGGATTACCAGGCCATCGTGGACGCCAAGTGGAGCATCTTGTACGACGAGCTTGATAAGCTCCACAAGTCAGGGGCCAAAGTCATCCTCTCCAAGCTTCCGACTGGTGGCGTGGCTACCCAGTACTTTGCTGACCGGGACATGTTCTGTGCTGGCCGAGTGCCTGAAGAAGATCTCAAGAGGACCATGATGGCCTGCGGTGGATCTATCCAGACCAGTGTAAATTCCCTGACCGATTATTTCCTTGGGCGTTGTGTCCTCTTTGAGGAGACAGGTACAACTTCTTCACAGACTGCCCAAAGGCTAAGACCTGCATTATAATCCTGCGTGGAGCATGGAGCAGTTCATGGCGGAGATGGTGCGTCCCCTCCACAATGCCATCGTGACTGGTAGGAGAGCAATCAATAATGACTCTGTTGTTGCTGGTGCTGGAGCTATAGAGACGGAGATCTCCAAGTACCTCCCAGACTATTCCAGGACCATTCATGGAAACTACCAACAACTCTCCCAAACTTCTTCCCCAGTCCATGGCAAAACACAAACTAGAATTCCATCTCCCCACCCCCCCACCCCCCTGAATAATATGCCACACAAAGAAGCACAAGTGAAGTCAGTCATCTGCAAGAATGTGTAACTATTTTAATGCAGGACTTCAATCTCTTCTCCAATATTGTGTATGGAGAAAGATTTAGGAAAAGCTAGCGAAATGAATGAGATTTTCCCCTATTTCTGATGCTGTGAGAGACAAGGCAGGAACATAGCTGTCAACCTTCCCTTTTTTTGCGGGAAATTCCCTTATTCCAGCGCCGTTTCCCGCTGCTTCCCGCTGCTATCCCAGATTGTTAGATATCCCGTAGACTGTCCCCGGGACAGGTGAGGCTGCTGATCCCTTATTTTCAAGGCTGCTCATCCCTTATTTTCAAATCTGAAAGTTGACAGCTATGGGCAGGAATTGGATGCTTTGGGCAATAAATAGATGTGTCTGGCACAGCTCAGGGAGCTTACGCTATTTTCTTTCTTAAGACAAGCTTTCATTTTCCTCTGTGCTTTTTGGTGTCAGCAGAGGCTGAGCGGAGCTGAGAGGCAAGCTAACATGTTTTCCCAGGTGGGTGTGTTGCTTGTTGCCACCAGTCCCCACCCTCCCTGGGCACATTCCTGGCACTATCGACAAGCAGCAAGTGACAATACAAGTTCCTAGCTGTGGCTTCTGCTTTGCATTTGCTGGTACTGAACTCTTCCCCAGAACTGCTGATATGTACACAGTAAGGAGGTTTGAGGTTGGTTTCCAATCAACACATGTACATAAGCAGCTTGACTAAGGAACTTAAGTTCGCACATCCTTGTTTCACGCAATAAGCTTTTAAACCATCCCGACTCACAAAGCTTCCATCAGAAGCCCAGGGAGCATTCAGCTGTCCAGGCTAAAACTACTTTTTGTGCTCAAGCATGATGTCCTCGTGCCAATACACCAGCGAGCCGAGAGAGTCAGTATTTTGCTATACCGGGGAATTTCGGTGTGTGCAATTAAAGTGGATTAAAGGGCTCTGTCACCGTAAAGCAACAAATCCACTTTAAAATAAACACTTTCTGTAGCTATTAAGGTGACAGGGAAATGCACTGACAAGTGTGTCATGAATGAATGGCTTATAAGATGATGTCTAAATGCTTGCAAGCAAATAAAGATGAATGCCCTATAAACAGATGATCGGGAGGAGTCCTACACACTATGACTGGAGAGGTTTTCACACCCCAAATTATGGGAATGCATGATGTGTGGGGCTGCCTTTGAAGAATGTTCAGAAGCTGCAATTGGTACAAAAATACAGTGGCTTGATTGCTACCTGGAACCAGGCAAACGGGGCCAGCCCACAGCAGACAGGTTACTGGCTGATGTTCTATATAGATCACATACAACCCCTGTTTTTAAACAGCCCAATCAAATCAGGGCTTGTCCACACTTCCTCTTGCCCTGTGCTCAGAAACCACGGGTCCAAGTGGTTTTGCCTTTGCCCTTCCTCCTTCCCCTGCAAAACTTGCTCTTTAGCAATGAACTGGAACAAACAGCAATTCGGGGAAAACCTGATTGCCATTTGCTCCCTGGGAAAGCAACAGGAGAAAATGGAAGTGTGGGTTTAAATACCTAAATGACTTAGGCCCCAAATGTCTGAAAAACTGCCTCCTTTCCTACAGATGCTCTTGGGTGTTAAGATCAGCAGAGGGAGCCCTCTTGGCAGTTTCACCACACTCAGGGGCTCAGGGGTGGGGGTTCGAGAGAGACCATTATCTGTGGCAGCTCCTAGGTTGTGGGGTTCCCTCCCCACAGAGGTACGTCTGAAGACACACCGTTGCCCTGGCCTTTGACATCTGAGATATAAATTTTCAGTAACCAATGAAATGTGATTTGAAGCTTTGAAATGTGATTTGAAGCTTTTTAGTCCACAAGTGTACAAAAGATGGGCTTCACAGCCCACTTTTTGTTCTTTTGCTAGGTACCACTCTTGCTGCAAACCACTCTTGCTGCCAAGCAGAACTGCCAAGCCTGACTCAGTTATTTTGCTGTGCTTTCTCTTCACTTGGTCCTCTGAGTCCCCACTTGTTGCTTCAAAAGTTATTTTTGGGCACCGTCAATTATTTTAATTGACTTACTTCTTCTTGCATCTATGCCATGTCCATATGTGTTGGTTCAATCATGGTTAGAATTAATTAGCTAATTCTCTCCAACCAAATAAAGGTGTTCATTTTGTTCCCCATCTGCCATAACAGATATGCATTATTTCCTGAGTTATCCCCCATGTTAAATGTGTATATTTTGATTCACTGTATGTATCTTCAATAAGCACCCTCAGGTTAAGGCCCATGTGATAAATCTGCCAAGACACTCTGTTGCCAATGTCCAAAGAGCCTGATTCACAAGACTCTTGAGAGTGTGTGCATGAGAAACCTGTGTCTAGCTAACAATAAGCGGCTGGAACCAGGAACCAATTACAACCTCATCTCTGGTCTTCTACTTCCTGCAAGTTCATCCACCCATCCTACATGTCACACGTCCTTGCTCTCTCATGCCCCAACACTCTTATATGATCTTTAAAGTCAGAAAGAGATGTTAAAAACCAATCACCACAGGTGTGATATAGCATTTAATCCCGCAAAGATTCATAACTAAGGAAAGTTAAATGACTGTGTTCACAACACTTACTAATGCTAAAACAGAAATGGACTGAAATCACCTTAGCAAAGGTGGAGTTAGGACTGGTCAGAGCAGACTCAATCCATGCTGAAGTGCCTTCTCCCAGACATCACACAGGAATACGACTGCCTTAATTTCATCTCTAGCCAAAGCCACCATTTCTGCCTCCTGCTCTGAGCTGAGTCAACCTCAGTGCTCGGATTCTATAGTGGTCCAGGGCTGAAGTCAACTTAGCCATTTGAACTGGAAGCCCCAAGTCCTAGTCCCAGACGTTCAGGGCTCAGCTACCGCAAGAAAGTGGCAATACAGTTTGCACATGCTCAGAGGCATCCATTAACAGCTTGCATGTTTCAGTGCTGAACCCCAACCTTTTAAAAACAGGTTTCTCTAGCTGAGCCCTAACTCAGTCCTAAAGGCTGGGTTGCCCCACAACGACCACTATCATTATCCACTATTACCTTACACATCCCTGCCCTTAATCCACTGGACAATGCTGGTTCTTTAGATACTCCTCCTTTGCCATCCTGAATGCTTCAGGGATGCTTTGTTGCCCTGAGAAGTTAATGAATAAGATGTGGCCAATGCACACAAACATAAACAGTCCAAGAAAGAGAGAAAGAACATAGGCACCCTCTGCTATGAATGGTTGTGGGAAACAAGATTCTGTGGCTGTCCTGCTGCCACAGAATTGTTGCCCAATTTCAGAGTCATGGTAGACAGACTCTTGGGGCTGAAGAAAATCCAGTGGTCATCTGTTCCAATCCCTGGGCTCTAATACAGTACAGTGGTACCTCGGGTTACAGACGCTTCAGGTTACAGATGCTTCAGGTTACAGACTCCGCTAACCCAGAAATAGTACCTCGGGTTTTGAACTTTGATTCAGGATGAGAACAGAAATTGTGCTCCGGTGGAACGGCAGCAGCGGGAGGCCCCATTAGCTAAAGTGGTACCTCAGGTTAAGATCAGTTTCAGGTTAGGAACGGACCTCCGGAACGAATTAAGTTCTTAACCTGAGGTACCACTGTATCTTCAGCACATCAGTCCCATTATAGATCAAGTCACATAATCCTAACTAGAACATGCCACAAGAAGTAACAAGAAAAGTATAAGACAGCCCATGTAAAGCTGCGTTTCTTATCTAGCCCTTCCTCCAAGGAGCTCAGGATAGGGTGCTTGATTCCCACCTCACAACAACCCTGTGAGGTAGGATTAGGCTGAGAGATAGGGCTTGGGCCCCATGTTTGCAAAGCGTGCTTTATGGCTCAGTAGGATTTGAACATCGGTCTCTCCAACATTAGTCACCACCTCAGAGTAAATACTTGCTGCAGTAAACTTCAGCTATGCAAATTAAACAGTACAAGAGATGGCAAAATAAAAACGTGAAATGACGCTGCAGAGCCACAACCAGACCAGAGCAGACAACTGGGTTGCACAGATGAATGGTCTCAGTACAGGACAGCTCCATATGCTCAAACTTATGCTTGGACAGCAATATGACAAAGCCACCATCCTCTGTCCACTGCCACTATCTGACTAAGTGGGTTCTCCTTCGCCTACAGGTTTTGCCCCAAGAAACAAGCTAGGTTTCAAGGTGCCTAAGGACCTTTTTTTTGCTGCCACAGATTAACAACAAAACTATGACATCAATGAGAAGCTGGAAAGTAATGTAATCAGAATTTTGACACTGCGGAATTAAGGTCTCAGCAAATCCTGAGAAGGAGAAGTTCATTGCACAAAGTAATTGTTCCTCTTGTTGGAATCTCCCCCCCCCCCGGGTAAATTACACACACTCAGGGGTGCATATAAACTTCCCCATGCCAGTAGTTACTTCATGCACCTGACAAATAGGACTGTGCCTCATCAGAGCATATGCCACAATAAATATATTTATGTATTCAAGCAGTTTATATATAACTTGACTACAATAGTCTCTAAGCGGTTTACAAAGATACAATACAAAAATTAAAGATCAGTTCAAACCATTATGTCAAACTTCAATTAAAATGCTTGCTGCAATGGAAAAAGTACTCAGTATGCACTGGAAGAAGGACAATAGGAAAGTTTACTAACTTATTAAGGGGAGAAGGCACAAGCTGTTTTTGCTGCAACAGACTTAACATGGCTACCTCTCCCTGGCAGAAGACATTTGTGCCTATTTGCAAAAGCATGTTGAGGACTTTAGAAGTACAACAGATTCAAGTTCCACTCAACCACAAATTCTGCTGGGTTATACTGTGTGTCAGCATAGCCACTAGCTCAGGGTTGTTGTGAGTGTATAAAGCTGCACCTTATACCAAATGAGCAATTGTACTTTATTCCAGTTTAACTTCACCTTCTTGTGTACAGGGTTACTCCCTTTGTGTAATACCCATTCAGCCTGGTATTGTCTTCTCTAACTGGCAATGACTCTTTGGGGTCTCAGAAAGCAGAGATATTTCCCATCACTTGCAGACTGATCCTTTTTTTAAACTGGAGACGCCAGGGACTAAGCCTGGAATGTTCCAGAAGCAAAGCTGTCTGTCTATGACTGGACAATGGCCAGTTCCCATTCCCCTCCTCCTGAGAAATCCACACTGAAAAGTTTATTAAAGGTAAAGGTACCCCTGCCCGTACGGGCCAGTCGTGACCGACTCTAGGGTTGCGCGCTCATCTCGCTCAAGAGGCCGGGAGCCGGCGCCGTCCGAAGACACTTCCGGGTCACGTGGCCAGCGTGACAAGCTGCATCTGGCGAGCCAGCACCAGCACAGCACACGGAAACGCCATTTACCTTCCCGCTATAAAGCAGTACCTATTTATCTACTTGCACTTAGGGGTGCTTTCGAACTGCTAGGTGGGCAGGAGCTGGGACCGAAAGACGGGAGCTCACCCCGCCGCGGAGATTCGAACCGCCGACCTTACGATCAACAAGTCCTAGGCACTGAGGTTTTACCCACAGCACCACCCGCATCCCGAAAAGTCTATTACTAGTATTAAATACCATATCCATATGCTGTGATGTTTTATCTGTGCCAAGAGGCAACTTCCCGAAAAACAAAACAAAAAAAATTCCTTCCAGTAGCACCTTAAAGACCAACTAAGTTAGTTCTTGGTATGAGCTTTCGTGTGCATGCACACTTCTTCAGATACGTATCTTTTTTTGTTTTGACTATGGCAGACCAACACGGCTACCTATCTGTAACCGAAAAACAAAAACACACAGCCCCCTGACAGTCACTTCCTGGTCTGAAACCTTCTAAGCTCCTGCTCCCCGCAACGAGGGGAAAGCACTCTGCACAGGCTCAGGGGCACTCCCTGTTACCAAAGCCCCACGCAGCGCAAGCCCCGCCCCGCCCCCAGCATACGTGCCAGATTATGTGCTTTCTCTACTCCCTTCCCCGCCCCTTCTAAAAGTTCTGCAGTTCATTTGCATACTCTCCCCTCATTGGCTGAGCAGAAAGAGGAAGGAGCATAGGGGGAAAGCCCGCAGAGAGGAGGAGGGAGAGGGAAAAAAGGGGAGGAGACACCTTTGTTTCTCGGCTTTGGTTTGTAAACAAGAGGAAGTCTAGACTTCCAGCTGGAGCTTTTTCTGGGGGGCCACAGATCTCTCTGTGGGGTGTCTCCCCCCACCCAAAATCCGCATCAGCACCCTCGCCCTGACCTAGACGGGCCTCGGGGAAGCCAAGGGGCTCCCATCAAAGACGGGCTTCTTCGGCATTTGTCTTCTGCCAGGTGAGCTTGGTGGAGGGTGGCTGACGAAGTGGGCTCTGGAAGCAATACGCCACAATAAATCTGCTAGTCCTTAAGGTGCCAAGAATCCCGGTTTTGCGGGCGCCGGGGAGTGTTTACCTCTAATGGGAAATCGGGTTTTAGGGTGAGTGACTGCAGTGGGAGATTGTAAGCACCTAATCGTGGTGCAATAATCCGACCGATACAAATAGGTTTGGTGAATAACAAGGGATGGAAGACATTCCAGCCGGTAATTAATTATTTTGCTCCTCCTTGCAGTAGGCACCTGTGATATGTTTCCCCGCATTGTTTTAGTAATGCCTGCCTGCACTTTGACCCACTACATAAATGATCTAGAATATGTTAGAAACAAAAGGGGGCATTTTTCCTAATGTGAAAGTATGCCCCCTGCTTGTACTGGATTTCAAGAGACATCCTTTAAAAAAAAAAGCCTCTACTGGGAAGGAAACGCTATACTGTATAGACAAAGGCTCTTAATTTTCAAGATCTTCTCATTCAGGATAAAATGGCACCCTTTATGTCTTGAGCGGTCTGTGTTGTTGTTGGCCCCTAGAATACACTGCCAGCGCAATATTGATTAGAGGCACGGTGCCAAATGGAATCCTAACTGTCTATGAGGACATGTAATTCTCTGTATTTCCCAGGAGCCAGGATGATGAGCTAGAGCAAATAAAGGAATTTTCCCTTTTTTCCAGCTTGAAATTTTGATATCTGACACATTTTCAATTTGAATAGATCCCCCCTCATCACTACTTGGCCTTGAGATCAAATTTGACATCTTTCATATTGAGGGACATAAAGGTATCACACACACACACACACACACACAGAGAGAGAGAGAGAGAGAGAGAGAGTCTTCTGCCCATCACATTTTTTTTATCATACTGTATTCATATTTTATCATACTGTATTCATGTTTCCATCATTACAAGTAATGGAAAAACATTTTGGCTGATTGGGTCTAATAGGGAAGTTTACCTAAAACTGGCAAACTTAGCAACAGTTGCCTACTTCTAACCTACTGAATGAAAATCACATTATTTTCATTTGTCAGAGAATCCAACTAGAAATTTCACTTAATGAGTATTCAAGCCTTATGTTTATAAACTGCTATTAGACACCCCAATCTTTCCACCTTCCCTCCTTTTGCATACACATTACATGTTTTGTAATGTACATTTTGTACATTGGTAATATTTTGTAATAGATTTTTTTTGGGGGGTGGGGAGACCTAGGCAGCAATCCTATACACACTTACCCAGAAATAAGCCCCACTGAACTTAATGTGGCTTCCTCCAAGTAAACAGGCACAGAACTGCATTGTAATATCTAACTTGGTTTACCCTCTCAGTCATGGCCCCTCCCTCTTTCCCGAGAGGCTCCTCCCCAGTATTCTATTAACCCCTCCCTCCCTTCTTCTTGAACCACATACTGTATAACATATTTTCACAACATCTGAAGAAGTGTGTATCTGAAGAAGTGTGCATGCACACGAAAGCTCATACCAAGAACTAACTTAGTTGGTCTTTAAGGTGCTACTGGAAGGAATATTTTTTTATATTTTCACAAGAAACAGATAGCTTAAATATTGTATCCTACCCACATTCATGTCTTGCTTTTCATTACTATAGAAAATATGAATGCAAGGTTTAAGACCAAGCCCAAATTTAATGTGGAAATTGCCATCTTTGCCCTAAAAAGGAAGAGACCAAGGTCAAGACAGGCCCTGGGATTGAATATATCTATTTACAAGGCTTCCATATTAAAACACCTTAAGAAACTCCTCCTTCGCATTGTACTGCGTTTGCATGTAGTGGTCCATTGTTTTCTGTCATGTGAAAGAAAGTCCCCATTGTCTGATGAGGTCAATGTGTAAAGTGCATTATTATGGAAAGTGAACCCTTGTTCATATCCTGAGCGCCTTTGATCATCAAAGTGGAACCTAGATTACTTTATTATCATTTGTATCTAGCAGATGGTCAACCACACATTTATCTGCTAAATAAAATGCCTACCTGTTAGCTAGTATTTTTCACTGCCCATGGGGCAATGCTGTATTTTGCACAGAAGAGGATCTAAATCACAGACTGTCCCTTTACCAACCGTATGCTCTGCAGTAATGAGATAAACCTTTTTGTTTTGAATTTCTCTACAGTTTGGGGAAAATTTTCACAGAGAATTGGGGGGGGCACTGAGGTTGTATCCCAGGTGTAAAATAAAACCCCTTTCTTTTACTGTACCTCCCTTTTTTCATTCCTTTCAGTCTTGCCTCTACCACCTCTCATCTCTTTACCATTTCCTCTTCCAGTTGTTTGATCTCTGCGCACACACCTTGTTCCTCTGAGCCACTATTGTAGCACTTTTTTCTCTTCTTTTACCCCACCCCTAAACAAGGAAAAACACCGAATGTCTACTTATGCAGGAGGTGGAGACCAGAGCAATACAGTAATTTGCAATAAGAGCAAAGAGGGGATGGGAAATCTGGAGGGCGCCGGGTCTTTTGCATCATAGAGTGACCCTAAATGTTGCTTCCCTTCAAAAAAACCCAAACCCAACCTTCTCAATTCAACTCCCAGTATTTATTTGTTTGCAAAGATGTGGAGCTACAGCCTCCATTTTCCCCAGCTCAGCATTCCCTTGCCTGGTTTGTTTCCTTTCAAGGAACCACCTCTCTTTCCCTCCCCCATACCATGTTCCAGACTCCCTCCCCCCCCCAGCCACTTCCCTTTGCAAAGCAAGCATCCCTCCCTCCCTTGCAAAGGGCTCTTCCTTTGCCTTCCTCCCCACTCCATTCCTCCAATGCACCATTCATTTAAGGCACGTTATTTCTGCTGGCCTCCCCTCTCCCCGTCTGGTCCTTCCACCCCATTTATCCACAGGCTGCTTTGTTTCTATATCTCCTCCTTCCACATTCCAGCTGGAATTTTCTGTTTTCTCTGCCCTCTGGTTCTGCACCCACCTGCCTCTTCTACACCATTCCCTCCATACTGCACTTAAGCATGCTTATCTGTGGCTTCCATCCTTTCGGTTTGCTTTTTTTTTTTTTTTTGCAGCTCTTCTCCCCCCCCCCCCCGCCCCGTCTGCCTTGCCTCCTCACTGTCTGCATTCCTTAACAGCAATTCCTGTAGGTTCCTTAAGCACTCATCCACCGCATGCATGGTACCCACCTCTCACTCCCACCATCTTTTCACATCTGCACATTTTATAGCATCCTTTGATCAGGTCCCCACCCCACCCCCAACAAGGATTCCTTTTGTACATTTTCACCTCCTTGCGCATCTACCCTTATTTCATCCCCACCTCCAAGATTTTCATAAAATTAATCGTTTCAAATCCAGTCAGTTTGGGGAGACATAAAGCAACCTACCAGGGGAGGTGGTAAAGGTGAAGGGACCCCTGCCCATTAGATCCAGTCGTGACTGACTCGGGGGTTGCGGCGCTCATCTCACTTTATTGGCCGAGGGAGCTAGCGTACAGATTCCGGGTCATGTGGCCAGCATGACTAAGCTGCTTCTGGCGAACCAGAGCAGCGCACGGAAACGCCGTTTACCTTCCCGCTAGAGCGGTACCTATTTATCTACTTGCACTTTGATGTGCTTTTGAACTGCTAGATTGGCAGGAGCAGGGACCAAGAAACGGGAGCTCACCCCGTCGTGGGGATTCGAATCGCCGACCTTCTGATCGGCAAGCCCTAGGCTCTGTGGTTTAACCCACAGCGCCACCCGACATCTCTAAAACAGGGACTTAGGTACACATGACCAAAGGGAAAGCAGAACACGTAGAGAGGTGGTCAGTTTGTTTAAATTCTTTGACAATGTGCCAGAAACTCCCAGATCTCTTGGTGAAGGCTGGCAGGAATGAAGAGAATGGAAAGCCCGGAATTCCTGGGTCCTGGCAGTCGCACCCATGGCTCCAGAGATTTTAGAAAGGCCACAAACTGAAGGCTCTTTGGAGAGGCACTGCTTGGAAGAGCTAGGACACCTGGGTTCTATTCCTGGTACTGCTGCTTCATCACGAGATGATCAGAGTTGACCTACATCCTGGGGTTAATTACAGGCTGAGCCTCCAGGAAGCTGCCTAGGGAGGGAAAGCACGTGGTACTGTTTTTGTTTAGACACCAGACCGGTTAGGCAGAACTTGGCTGGCTCCCAGGGCTAAGAAGAAGCAGGCACCCTGACTTCCCTGCTGTTTCTCCCCTCCACTCACTAGCCTGTCCATACCTTGGTAACCCTTTTCTCGTTGCTCCCTCTCTTTTAGGGCTTTCGGGGGGCTTCCTCCCGCCACCGCCCACACTAGGGACTTCTGGTTCTTCACAACTCCCCTGAAGCTTCTCCCACTTGCGTGACCCCACCACAATGGTGAGGCTGTCCAAACCCAAAACTTTCCAAGCCTACCTGGACAACTGCCACCGACGCTACAGCTGCGTGCACTGCCGGGCACACCTGGCCAACCACGACGATCTCATCTCCAAGGTGAAAAGGGGGGGTGGGACAGTCCCTGGCACACTGCTATAGCGGGAGGGGGGCAGCTCTCAGCACCCGAGGGGTTGTTTTTCCTCCGTCAATTGGTTTACTACACTTGATCTTAGCCAAAAGGAGGAGGAAGGAAGAAGAGATAACCTAAAAGTTGGGGGGAAAGGGTCAGGAAACTAAAGGGAGTCCTACTCTGATTTGCTGATATTAGCTCCCTCTCAATAATCAGACGGCAACCATGTATCTAGCATTTTTAGTGTGCCTTTACGATCTTTTATCTTTGCTTGTCCTCACAGCAACTGTAAGGGGGGTCACTTGACAACAAAATCAAGAAACCGGGTAAAAACACATTAGCACAAGGAAGCATTCACATTTTGAGGTTGTCCAGGGCAGTGTGGATTTCCCAAGGCCACGTGCAAACTGTGGCAGGCACAGGATTTGAACTCTGATCCCTTGGATTGAATATTTTACCTACTGCCGCAGCTCCAGCATGAGAAATCTCAGTCGAAACCCACAGCACTATATGCTCCATCCCTTCCACTGCCTAGAGCCCTGGAATTGGGCCAGGTTATTCTGGGGAAATCACCAAGGCTCACCTCCCAAGTGGGCCAGGCTATAGGCCTAGAAGCTTTTCCTTGGTGAACAATTTATAAATGCTCCGTAAGGAAGGGGAGGGATTAGAACACTTGCCAGTTGCGAGATCATATCCTAGGGAGCTACAGTTCACAAGCAGGGACTATTTTAGACTTCCCCAGTGCTCAGAATTAGAGGGCCGCTGGTCAGAAGTGGAGAATGAAGGCAGAGAAGGGGGAGAATTTAAGTGGGCTGCTTACAGGGAGTGGGGGGGGGGTATTGTCTTTCCTGAGCCTAACATTCAGCTGCCATCTCCACCCTCCTGTGCTTGAGATACTGCAAGGTCAACAAGTTTGAGCTGCTGGCTGATTAATCATTACACAGAATCCAGTGTGGAGAGGTGGGGTGTGCCTGAAAACAAGCCAGAGAACAAATAAGGAAATGCAGAAGGGAGCTGAGAAAGCAGGGCTGAGGCTAAGGACCATCAGTGGGGGGGGGGGGGGGGGGAGAGGTATGCAGCTGGAACAGAAGTCTGCTAGTTAGGGCTGCTAACACCACAAGAAGTCTGTTTATCTTTAAGGTGCCACGGAACGCCTTTTGTGTTTGCTGTCATTTGTTTGCCGTAACTAACATCGTGTCTATCCCTCTGGATATGTTCTCTTTTTCAACCTGTTTTTTGTGTCTCTTGTCATTACAGTCTTTCCAAGGAAGCCAAGGTCGGGCATATTTATTCAACTCTGTGTGAGTATCGCAGGAGGGGAGCAACAGACTTAAGGCATAAAACTATAAAAGACAGCTACATACAAGGTTGAAGCAAGCCAGCAACAACCAGCCCTAAACCTTTATGTGGTCTTAAAAGTAAGCTGGGGAAACCCAACCAGATGGGCAGGGTATAAATAATAATATATTATTATTATTATTATTTATTATTATTATTATTATTATATTAAAATGTTAGGTCTACAAGCTTGTGCTCTCAGGTGTGATGCTTTCCAGTGGAAGAGTGTCCTTTTCCTTGTCTGGGGAGCATTTCCTTGTGTGAGTTCCCACTTATAGCTTGAAAAGCTGCAGCCGGGAGACAGGTTTATGACTGTTCTCTCATTTCGCCATACATAGCGTGGGCTTGTTCACTGGAAGCGCCTCAGAAGCACAGGGCACAAGGTGGGGATAATACACTCACTTCCCCAACTTTTAACGTCAGGAAGGCGGCTGGGTTTATTCCATCAGAGGGGGCGGTTCGTGGCAAGCAGAACTGAACTGTGGGCCCTGGCCAATACCTGCCTAGATTGAGGCCCGTCACTGATCTAAAGACAAGGTGAAACTCAGACTAGGAAAGCATCAGGGGCTCCAACACCCTCTCTCTTTTCCCCCTTGCAGGGTAAATGTTGGATGTGGCCCAGCAGAGGAGCGGGTGCTGCTGACAGGCCTGCATGCTGTGGCTGACATCTACTGCGAGAACTGCAAGACCACGCTTGGATGGAAATATGTGAGTCTCGCTTGGCATCCCCCACTCCCTTCTCCCCAAAAGACTCACACGCTGCCTTAAAGGAAGCTCACGCTTTCGTTCTCTCGTTCCGCAGGAGCAAGCCTTCGAGACAAGCCAGAAGTACAAGGAGGGCAAGTACATCATTGAACTCAACCACATGATCAAGGATAACGGCTGGGATTGAAAGAAACAAACAGAAACAGAACAGACGCTGCCACCTTTGGACAGCTACATATGTAAGGTGGTGGAGCGCCAGAAATGACAATTTCCACAAGGCTTGCCTCTGCCTTCCTAACCAATGGGCTGCCATCCAAACCACCTTCAGGTGCACGGAAGCTGTGAAGGAAGCAGCTCTTCCGCCAGGAGGACATACTCGGGGCTCGGATATGTCGCCATCGTGTGGCAAGAAGTGGCAGCACACCAGGAGACACCTAGGCCAGGGGCAGTGTGCAAGAAGGGGTTTGGGGTGGGGTGGGGTTTGTTGTACAGAGGGAGTCTGCATTAAATCACACAGGCGGGGGGTGGGGGTGTACAGTGGGACAGGGAAGGGGTGGGTTGTACAGTATTTGTGAGTTTGTGCGAGTATGTATTATATAAATAAAAGCATTGAAGTGATACCGTTTTTTCCCCTACGGTGGGGGGTGGTGTAGACTGCAGTGTCTGCCTAGAAAGGGATGTACTGACGACTCCAGTCTTGAGTAGTCGTGGCCTTATTTGTCCCTCGTTATTTATTTATTTCTGGCATTTCTAACCACCCCACCTTTTTCCAAAGGCTGTATTCTTGGCAGGTTCCATATGCCAAGAGCCAATAAGGGCAGCAGCAAAACAACAAATAGGTAAAGGTAAAGGTACCCCTGCCCGTTCGGGCCAGTCTTGACAGACTCTGGGGTTGTGCGCCCATCTCACTCAAGAGGCCAGGGGCCAGCGTTGTCCGCAGACACTTCCGGGTCACGTGGCCAGCGTGACAAAGCTGCATCTGGCGAGCCAGCACAGCACACGGAACGCTGTTTACCTTCCCGCTGGTAAGCGGTCCCTATTTATCTACTTGCACCCGGGGTGCTTCGAACTGCTAGGTTGGCAGGCGCTGGGACCGAGCAGCGGGAGCGCACCCCGCCGCAGGGATTCGAACCGCCGACCTTTCGATCGGCAAGCCCTAGGTGCTGAGGCGTTTACCCACAGCGCTACCCGCGTCCCTTCAAAACAACAAATACATTACATGTAAGTGTTAGTGACTACTCCATTAGCCACACCTCCGTGTAAACTGCATCACTTCACAAGGTCCCAGTGAGAGAGACAATGAGCTTTGAACAAAGGGAGGTTCTGAGAAAACAGGCAGTCACGCACCCAGCATACTGTGAGGCAGATTTCCATATTTTCCAAGGTATCCTTCCCAGGGATGGGAGAGGAGTCTTCATTTTAGTTTACACGGCCTTTAAGACAGCAGTAGTTCCTGAACGAACCACAGAGAGAGAGAAATCCGTTTCAAAGATCCAAGAGCAATGAGTCTCCTTCCTTGGTGAAGAATTGGAAAACTCGGGTGCAAACTATGGTTTGCTCATCCTGCCCATTTTATCTGGGAGACTAGCTCACCTATCACAGACAATTCATTTTGCAGGTTTCCTTCTGCACTAGGATGGCGTTCACCACATCTCTTTGACAACAACCAAACCTACAGCATAATTTCAAAGAAGGTAGATTTTCCAAGTCCCAGACAATTCAACAGCTGAAGAATAAGAAGACCAGGAAGGAACTGAGAGGGAGATCAGCTAGCAAAGTTCCCCTTCTCTTCTCTGGTTATGAAGCAAGAGGATTTAGCAACTTCTCCTTCCCATCATGCCCCCAAAGCTACAAATTATATGCATAAGCGCTTGCATCTTCAAAGACGCCTCCTGACCCACTTCAACCACAATTCCTTTGTCCTAAACGGCACTGCTCAATAGCTCCCTCTGCTGCCCAGTGACAGAATTAGACCGCCAATTTTGGATTAACTCACATACAGTATCTGGCAATATGCAACTCTTATTGGAGCAGTTCTTGCAAACTGCAAATTTGGATTAAAATACTTGCGCCACACTATGCGGCATGTTCTTTTGACCCCCTAATATGAATTAGTTGCCACATCATACCTTTCTCTTGCCACAATAACTCAGAGGACAAAAGGAATTGCTTTCCTATTTTATTTAAGTATCTATGAAAGTGTTTTTAAAACTTAAGAACCAGCTCACTGGCCCAGAACAAAACCTATTCTGCCCAGTGTCCTGTCTCCCAACAGTGACTATCGTGATGCTGCACCAGGTTTGCTCCCAGCATCCTCTCGTCAGCAATATGCAGCCTTTGAATAAAATCACAGAACTACAGAGTTGGAAGGGACACTGAGGGTCATCTAGTCCAACCCGCTGCAATACACGAATCATGCACACAGCTGTGCCTGGGTGCTAGCTTCTGGCACCACAGGTCTGGGAGTTCCATTTTAGAGAGCAAAAGATTTCCAGTTTCCCCCGACCCCAACAACTGTGCATCTATAGAGAGGCTGCTGTCATCACCCTCCTGGGTTCAACTGCCATTGGCACAGGGCAGGTGTGACTGCTATCCCAGCCCAGGCAGATGGCTAGAACGACAGGCATTTAGGGTTGGGAGGCAAAGATAGAATTATAGATGGGATTCAAGCACAGATATATTTTCCCCTCCCCCACCCCCAATAACCAGAAAGCTGTAATGGAATCTGCTTCACTTCATAGCAATCCTCAAAGCATATTAGTATCAGGAGCTACTACAAATAAACTGAGTTTTACTGATCCCGGAGACAGCAGAGATGAACCCTTGGACACTTATTCCATGCTTAACAGGGAGGGAGAGGCCTTCGCAGGAATTGTGGGGATGCTGTCTGATGACGTTGCCATCACCCATAGTAACTACCTACAGCAAGAGTCTTCCATACTCTACCTTCGCTTAATATCTTCTTTGGTGATCACTCGTAGCCGAGTAAGGTGGTCTTCCATAAACACAGATTTTAACAATGAGTCCGTAAGTGACTGTGGAGGCCAGTTCTGGACCCACACGTCCTTCCACAGTGGGGACATTGGTTTCCAGGCAGGAGTTGATCACACTGTGAATTTGCCAAGCGTGTCTTCCTCTTAGCACGTTTCTCCCTTGCGTTCTGAGTTTGAGTGTCTTCAAAGCCCATGACACCTTTGGTAAAGGCTCTTTTAAACCTCTTTTGTTGACCACCAGCATTACGCTTTCCATTTTTAAGTTTGGAATAGAGTAGTTGCTTTGGAAGACGATCATCAGGCATCCGCACAACATGACCAGTCCAACGAAGTTCATGTTGAAGAATCGTTGCTTCAACACTGGTGATCTTTCCTTCATCCAGTACACTGATATTAGTTCGCCTGTCTTCCCAAGTGATGTGTATTAACATTCGCTTAATATAAAGGGGCACGAGAAGGGGCACAGCCAATCTCATTCCTCCATGCCTTTAACCCCCACCCTCCAAGAATGCCAAAGGCAGCGGGCAACAAGGCAAGGGGATTCAGCAAGAGGGAAGGTTGCTTAGGCAGGTAAAGGTAAAGGTAAAGGGACCCCTGACCATTAGGTCCAGTTGTGACCGACTCGGGTTGCGGTGCTCATCTCGCTTTATTGGCTGAGGGAGCTGGCATAATAGCTTCCAGGTCATGTGGCCAGCATGACTAAGCCACTTCTGGCAAACCAGAGCAGTGCACGGAAATGCCATTTACCTTCCCACCAGAGCAGTACCTATTTATCTACTTGCACTTTGACGTGCTTTCGAACTGCTAGGTTGGCAGGAGCAGGGACCGAGCAACGGGAGCTCACCCCGTTGCGTGGATTTGAACCGCTGACCTTCTGATTGGCAAGTCCTAGGCTCAGTGGTTTAACCCACAGCGCCACCCGCACCCCTATGCTTAGGCAGGTAGAGGATGCAAATTCTCTATTTTCATTGGGCATTTCCTTAAAGCAGCAGAAGAGGGCGCTCAAATCCCACACACAGTATTGGCATCATTACAGTACTGCCCTGTTGCTGCCCATTAGAAAAAGCTGGGGCATGGTGCTTTGCATCTACCCCAATATCTCTTGGCAGAACTCAAAAGCCCACACAGTGGCATACCAAGCAAATTATTCTTAAAGCAGGGTTGTTAAGAAAGTAATTTTAAAAACAACAACAACCAACACCACTTTGGGCCCCTCTGTGTTATTTATACGTTCATGTTGTTTCAAGTGCACACGTGTTTCAGTAAAAACAAATGCACACAATGGCTATGCCCTAGAACAGGCATGGAACTGACCAAAGACGCAGCAACCCTGGCCTTCATCTTATGTGGGCCATGAAGTGTAGGTCCTAGTGCAAGATTATAGAATCGCAGAGTTGGAAGGGACCCTGAGGATCATCTAATCCAGCCTTTCTCAACCTGTGGGTCCCCAGATGTTGTTGAACTACAACTCCCATCACCCCTAGCTAGCAAGGCCAGAGCTCAGGGATGATGGGAGTTGTAGTCCAACAACATCTGGGCACCCACAGGTTGAGAACCGCTGAATTCAACCCCCTGCAAATGCAGGAAAATGCAGCTGTGCCTTACGGGGCTTGAACCTGCAACCTTGGCATTATCAGCACCATGCTCTAACCAACTGAGCTATCCAGCTATTTATTTACGAAGTAACTGGAAACGGCAAGGATAATGCTATCAAACGCGACTTATATTTAAGTGAACTGCCAGGAAAGTCCAACAGAGTCACGTTTCACGTCAAAAGAGGAAACTTCTCCAGAAAGTAGGGGAATGGTAGGAAGGAAGTTAAGGGGTTTAAATCTCTCCAGAACGCTTGACGTTTGTTCAAAACCACAAGAGAAGTTCGGCTACAATGTGCACCACACAGGTCAGGAAAAGTACCACAAGGGCCAAGAGGACGCCAGCACAGTTCATGAGAAGAGTCAAGGAAGCTATTGCAATAAGAGGTCTTCCTTCAGAAAATGGAAGTCTTGTCCAAATGAGAACAAAAGGGAACACAAAACTCTGGCCAAAAAAAGAAAAGAAGCAAGCAGACAATAAGGGATGCAAAAAAAAAAAAAAAGAAACCAAGGAGCACATTACTAAAAACAACAGCTAAAAATGGTATTGAAACACACAGCAGGCAACTTGGCAAGGATGCATTTGGACCTTCAGACAACAAGG